TTGAAATATATCACCGTTACTATAAACAATTAAAATTTTGTGACCCTAAAAATATTCAACCATCAGACTCCGAATAAAAACTTGGGATAATTATTTTACTTTGTTCATAGTGATTATTTTGTTCGTAGTGGTAGAATATTCTTGTTTTTGTAAAATTTATAATTTCCAATTAAAATTGTGAAAACTACGAGTTGATATTTCATTTAAATATACCATAAAAACTAATTTTCTCTTATTTATATTGCCACCAACATCAAACATACAACCTATTAATGGTAAAACGGAAAAAATAAATAACACGGAGAGTGTAAAATGGTTGTTAAGCGAGTTACAACTGTTTTCTACGAAGAGTCATGTTTAATTTCAAGGTTCTATCTCAACCAAACTCAAGATTTTTTTAATAGTTAATCAATAAAAGAGTTTACTCATTTCGCTACAATTTTTTAAAAATACATCTTTTCGTTTTTTGCCTCTCCTGTAAAATCGCTAAAACTGAGGTACAACCTTGTTCGATGGGGGTGTCGATATATAACAAAAGATAGACTTTTGTTATTCAATATAATCTATGTTTAATAGTTATTTAATAAACAAATATATTAAGGGCGATTAATAATAAATAGCTACATCGTTAATATTTGAGATTATTAATAACCCTTTTAATGTACGACTCTGAGATATATACCAAAGACTTTCCGATCAATTAGTCTAATATCGTTTCACTTGAGAACGATGGCAAAGTTATGCAAGAGGTCCATAAGCGATGAATTTCTGGTTCATAACCCAGTTCACCTAAATCAGCGTGCATATATTTCGGGAAGATCTACCGACTCGGCACTGCTTTAAGTAGTGGAAAGAATTGAAAGATAGCTGGATAATGAAGAATCCACCTTAGGTATATTCATTGACGTTGCGAAAGCGTTTAATAAAACCACATTCCCAACAATCACCCAATAGCTCAATATCAGGAATGTCCCCCTGGCCATGAGGGAATGGATATTCAGTATGTTTTCTAACAGAGTAATAAGCATAAATAATGTAGAAGACGTTTTTGTTAGAGACATGGTTAAGAGAGGGTCTCCATAGGGAGGGATGCTATCAAAACTCTTCTAAAACATAGTTCTCGACACCCTGGTTGACCAACTCAGCAGCAACGGGTTCTACACAATAGCCTATGCAGACGATATTAATGTCCTGCAAAGAGGTAAGTTTAAAAAAACACACTATCCTCACACAAAGACCGAGATGGTCCTCTTTATACAAAAATAATCACGGGATTAATATCCCCAAGGATTCTAAACTAGTCTGAACTTTTGTAACACGGTAAAATACCTTTGTATTACCCTTGACAGGATGATCTCCTGAGTCTATACTGCTGTCATTAGGCCAATGCTAACTTACGAAGCTATTGCTTGGGTACCAAAAATACTAGAGGCAACAGCAATCAACAAACTCAACCATATTGACAGGTTTTCCCTGTCACACCATTACTCATGAGTCATTGTAGCGTTCTTATTGTATCTTGCTCGCCATCTTTACATAGTTCGGCTGGGAAATCATCTATTCCTGGTGATTCTGTTTAACTACATTTTCAATTTCAAGAATCGTTGGTGGCCCTTTTTTTCCTCATATTTTTTTGTCTGTTTCACATACCTCATCCCTTTCGTCTCCTAGGTTTTCTTCTTCGTCCTCTGTATTAATTACCTAACTAAAATGTTCCACCCATCGATATAATACGCCTTTTTTGTCAATAGTAGCTCTGTGCTCAGGCTTCTCTATTAATTTATCATTGTCTTAAATTCTTTTCTATTATTATTACCTATTTTATAGTATACGTTCTGAAATATTTCCCTCTATTGATAATTTCTATACATTTAAGTTTGTTATTAAGTGGTTTCGTTTCATTTTTATGTATTCTCTTTTCTTTATTTGGTAATTCTTGACTGTGGTTCTTGTTCGTCCTTGTTCAAACTCATTCGTTTTTCGGGAGATGCGATTATATTCCTATCTTCTGTTGCTAATACAATAAGTTCTTTTATTCCGGTCCAATGTGTCTATTTGTTTTTGGTTTTCTTAGTTTATATTGTGATCGATTAGTATATTGCTAACGTTTTCAGAGTATCGTTTGGCAACATTCTTTTATTTTTTGTCGGCGTTTGATTTTTGGGCTCTTAAATCTATTAATATGTGATCAATCTGACTTGTTGTTTTTCGATCAAGGGAGTTTCAAGTTACTGCGTATATGATTTTTTGCCCAAAATACGCGCTAGAAACTTTCTTATCTTCTATTTTGTCAGCTGTTGGAGTATTCCTAATCAAATTAGGAATAATTAAATCATTTAAGTACTTTTAATCCCTTTTAAGAGTAAGACACACGTTATTGGCTGTAGTTTTTAAAAGTAATAACAAGAAGTTTTATTTTCTCTAACCTACTCTATCAATATATTGACTCTCCTTTCACTGAAAATAATACACAGCATTTGTTATTTTCTTTGGCGACTTCAAGGCAAATATCATAGAAGACAGATGAGGTCAACCAGTAGGTCTCTATAGTCTTACTAAATAAAACCTGATAGTTAACACCCTATCGAACGAGGGCAGAAACTGTTTGAATTACGTGAAGAAAAAAATATGATACACATATCTCGTATAAACTGCCCAAACGATAAATATACACTTGGAAAGCTCCACTTCCTGTTACTAATACTCCTGAATTATCAAGACATCAAATAATTTACATACTTGTATATGAACGTTTTAGCAATGCTGCCAGAAGGATCAGTACATTTTGCGAAGGTAGCATTAATACTCATTTGACTGATCACAAGAGACAGAAGACCTTTAGAAGTATAACTGCGAAAACTCTTGTTGTGGGAATACATCTTCCCACAACAAAACTATCAAATTTTATTTGAAGTGACACATATGTTTAGTTAAACATCCACTGTTCTCTAGAGAGATTATTTAAATCCAAATATTCAAATACTTATAACGTGTATCAAAATCTTCTTTATTATTTCGTTAAATAGAAAAAAGACAGTCTCAATATATACATGATGTGAATCCTATGGCTACAAATACGAAACCTTTATCCAGACGTATCACTTCTAAAACCGATTTGGACTCGTTAGAGTATAAATGAATCACAATAGCTACAACTAGTGTAGATATTCGAAAAACACTATAATCAGTGCATGTTTCTTGCAGATTATTTTCTTACTCTTTGGAAAAGAGCCAGTACAATCATGATTCTCTAATCAGAAAAAATGTTTACCAATACAAAACCGATCTATTTCTCTTTTAAACACCCTAGGCTAGATCTTCGAGAGAATGCTTCAGGAAAAACTCGTAAAACTCTTAGATAAATTCCACATCATTCAAAATTTCCAATTAGGATTCAATGCTAATCATTCATACACAATGCTTAGATTGAAGCAAAAAGCTTCATATTCCAAGCCACTAACGAACAACAAAGGCATATACCTGTAATTTTCCTTGACGTCCAGAAGATATTTAATCAGGTCTGGCATTGATACTAAGCTGCGCTGCCGATCCATTTCTGAAAATCATTAATTCCTATCTCTCGATTCGATTAATCCTGTCAAAGTCGCTGATAAACACTCTTAATATTATTCTCAAGCATAAGTTCCACAGAGATAATTCTAGCGCTAATTTTATATAGAAGCGACCTTCTCCTACCTATCAACAGATCCGACACCATCCCCTGTATGCTGAGGTTCTGCCCTGGTCTCCGCAGGTACCGCTTACAGTACTACAAGAAAAATATCTCTACTCCACAAAGAACACAAAGTAATAGGTATTCATGGAAAAAGACTTAATATTAGGCCTTTGATCTCCTTCTTGGACGTCGAATTCATAAAAACGCTTAACTGGAACATCGACATTAAAACACCCTTAACAGGATGAGAAGAAGAGTAAATTTCTTCGAAAGATTAAGAGGTAATAGGTACTAGGGAACATCCACTCACGTATTTTTCTGTATATATAAAAAACATTTATTAGACCTATATCGAGTACAGTGTTCACCTCTAGACAGTGCTCAACAAACGCCATATGAACACCCATAAGGTTATCGAAAAAAAATCCTGAGGAGACTTATGAACAAAGGCAATAACTTCCGTCATCATACATCCCCCAACTGGCCACTATTTAAAGTCGGATCCAATCTCTTAATAAAAGATACTTTAAGAACCATCGATAGCTCAAAAGAGGTTCTTTAAATTCCTTGCCATCGCCGAGTGCAACTACTCGCAAAATTACCCAAGATTATTACTGCTAGTTCAGCTTCTCAATTTAGTAGGCAACGAACTTTCTGATGAGTACTTAGAAGTAGTCTAGGTACTTAGTTTCTAGAAGTTTCTTCTTCTTTCAGTGCCTATTCGTTCCAAATATTGGCAATCATTCTGGCTATAATTATTTTATTAACTGATGCTTTAAATAGTTTCGTTGTTGTTGTGGAGAACCATTTCCTCAGATTCTTCAACCATGATATTCTCCTTCTCCCAATTCCTCGCTTTCCGAATACTTTACCCTGTAGGATTACCTTCAGTAATCTGTATTTAGTGCTGTTTCTCATTATATGTCCGAGATAAAATAATAAAGTACAGTGAAATCAAAGCGAACACAAACGAACGAACGAAGGAACGACTTCATAAGTTTGACAAATATATGACATAAGTACTCCAAAAATACATAAAAAGAACAATAAAATAGTTACTAATATCTAAATGATCTATAGAAGATTATATGAAAATTATTTTAGTTGTAAATTTTTGTCTTTATAAGGCAAGAAATAAAGCTGTATCAATATAAAATAATGTATAAATCGGCAAGTTGGGAAAAACTATACAGTTGGCATATGCATTTAATAAACCATCTGAATGTTATCTTCAAAAATAATAACGTCATCTATTATGTTATGCATTTACTGATTTATTAAATACATAAGCACATCTACAAATAAACTTCAAAAATGTACTTACGAGCATTCCGCGGCCCACTTCCATATATTTTATAAAAATCATTTTTATTTTCTGTAAAGAAAAGTGGTATTAATATAAAAATAAAAAAAAAATGTTTAAATAAATTAAATATATAAGGAGGCAGGCAATTTCCCAAAGAACTGAAAATTGGTATAAATGTAGCCCGTTTTTTTTTCGGCAATGTAGGTGGATAAAAATGTCTTATACGGGTTTTTGAAGGTTCTCAATGGTATATGAGAGACATCTGATGATAAATCCTGGAAGACGTATAGCTGCTCTTTCGAATGTTTAAATTAAAATACATTAACAATCAATCGATATAATTGCAAATAACCCATATTTTTACAGTAATTTATAAATATTAATAACTTAATTTTTTGAATAATAATAATCATAATTTGTATGCATAATTTGTTTATCCCAGAGAGCAATTATTTATATAACTGTACTTGCCTAAACAGTAGCTCTAGATATATTTAGCAGATCACAATCGATTCTGTAAGGTTTCAAATTTAAGAAAAAATTCAATATTTTATCAAAATTTTTATTAAAAAAAATTTAAAAAGGGCTACTTTTTAGCTTATAAACATTTATAATAACTTCCATATTTTTTATGTCATGTGCTTGTAAGTAGACTAGAAAATATGATGAAAAAACACAATCTTAAAAAAAAAACATTCTGTGACCAATAGGAACCAAGATAGTAATAATTTTTTCTTTAAATGATATTTCCTTTATTTATTAACATTATTATATGAAAATTGAGCAAACTATAGACGATCATAAAGTTATTAAACATATTATAAATTTTATGATCCATTTTATAGATGGTATATACCGAGAAGCTGTAAAAGGGTTTAATCTATTAAAGTGATGGTACTCGTAAAATATCGTTTGTCCGTATTTTTCAAAATGGAACTTCAAATTGGGGCGCACCGAAAAAATTTGCAATATTTTGGTTTCTATGGCACACATAAGCTGGATTTTTTTAAATTGCGGTCGCTGGATAAAATAATAGGAACTTTGCTCTTTTCATCTCCCGCAAAAATCAATTAGTTAAATGTTTTCATAAAAAAGTTGAATTTTTTTATGATTTCGTAAAAAATATTTAACTTTTATTGAATAATGTAAAGGTCTCTTTTTATGAGCATTTTTAAGTTGTGCGCTTTCTATTTCATCCAAAAATTTCTATTGATAACTATCATAATTAAATATGAACTATTATAGTAAAATATATTATATATTATATTAAAATATATTATATTATAGAAAAATATAAACTTTTACATCTGATCATTCAGGGAAAGATCCAATGTAAACGTGGTCCTGGTAAAACAAGAACATTATGGCTGAAAAATCTAACTACGTATATGGTAGCCAACATAATCTCCAATGATTGATAACGGTCATGGAACTAAAAGAAGATGGTTGAGGCTACTAAAGCAACAAATATACATCGCAAAGGCAAAACATTAACATTGACATGCTATCAACAAGTCCTCACAGACACTTCGTCTAAGGACTAGCCCCAGTGAAGTCCTACGTTACCATGTGATCAATTCCGTTTATAACGTAAACAATTTTTTCCTCACGTAAACATGTTCTCAATTTTGGGAGATATTTTACAACTTTGAAGGTAATAGATACGTCAATAGAAAACGGATTCCATGGAACTGGTACAATTTATGAAAAACAGAATACCAAAATCCTACATTTTTTCCAAAGAAACATTTTTTATGTAAAAACGAAGAGAAACTTATGAATTCAAATGTAGGCTAGGTAGTAATATATAAATTTTTCGTTGGTAAGATAACAAACCAGTTGATTTCATCAAGACTATCTTGATGTCTTCTTGCTTTAGCGGTACCAATTCAGATCTTTGTAAAAGATGGGCTAAGAAGAAAAAAGAGTATAAAATAATAAAATCACCTGACATTATTAAAAATTATAACAATTTATGGGATGAGTAAATCTAATGGATAGATTATTATCTGTTCGACCTAGTAGAGTCTGAACAATAAAGTGGACAACACGTTTTATAAAAGCTTGAATATATGTCATTAAAGAAAATAATACAGCTAATAACATTTAAAATGAAGCTTAGACAAAGCATACTAAATCAATATGGTCGTAGTAGCGATTCGCACTCTTATTATGATGATTGTCAAGACCTTGTACCAAAACACAAAAAAAGAAAAGTGTTAATAAAACAGTTACCTTCATAATCCCTTAGACTTCACAAATCTTATAATTTACCAATATAAGGGGATAAACAACAACGGTGTAGAAATAAGAACTGCTCTAAAAAACAACAGTATATTGCAAGAAATATGAGGTATACTTATGTTGCATATCAAAACGAAATTGTTTTTTGAAATTTGTTTTTTGTATTCTTCTCTTTGTTTTTATGTATTTGTTTTATTTTGCAATATAAGTAAATTTGTTTTTCACCAATCTTTGTCTAATTTAATTCCCTTGTCATAAACATAGAATTTGTAAATCAAGTGTTAAGTTTGAACTGAATGCTGTTGTCTCATATACAGTACGTACATTAAGAAAACTCAAATTTTCCGAAAAATATTTTTTCATTTATTTTTTACATAATTCTGCAATATACAGAAAATGGAAACAAACAATAAGTCAACAATAACAGTACAAGCCTATTCTTGAAAAAAAAAACCTGGCAATCAGAAGGTTAAAGAAAGAGCTCTGGAAAACATATCTAAAACAACAAAGAAGAAAACAAAGAAGAGTAGTTAAACATACGAAAAAAAAAGGGGTTTTCACATAAAATGGAATGCGACTGCAGAGGAAATGGTAAGCTACTATATAGAACACTCAATAATTTAGGAAAGGTAAAGAAGATACCACAAGATTGATTGAAGTTGAAACTGGCAAGCTACTAGTCACAGAAGAGCATATACCTAATGGAAAGATGGTACATTCATTTTAATATAATGCTAAATGCTTGCAAATGTATTAAATAGTGAAAGTAAACTACTCTTGAGACTATTACAAATGTTTAAAAGATAAAATAACAATAGAAGTTATAGAGTCGATAAGCAGGATGATGCAACATGTCACACATCACGAGTGTCAATGAATTTACTAAGAACATCGTTACCCTTTTGTCTTATCAGTAAAAACGGCGACATTCCCTGGCCACCTCGTAGTCCGGATCTCCCTCACGCGACAACGTTCTTTGAGGAGATCTAAAGTCGAAAGTGTTTCAAAATAACCCCCCAAGAAATATCGAGGCTTTGAAAGAACAGATACTCAAAGAAGACGAAGAAATACTTCAACAAATGTTACTCAATGTGGTAAACACCTTTGTAGCACGGCTGCAAGAATGTGTCCGACAAAATGGAGATATTTTTTCAGTTTTGTTTTTTTCTTTGGCCGTTTCACTGAATCACCTCGGAGCAGCGGGTAGAAAAAAGCAGAGTGTGAGCAGGGAATACCATATGACTGTATCTCCCAAAAATGGAAGACCACGTACTTTTATTATAGAAGAACAACACACCAGGTTGTAATATCAACGAGGAGACTAGCTAAAATGATCTTAAATATCGAAAGTGTTCTAAATGATCCAAATACTCTCAAGCGAAACTCCACATACCAAGATGCTGTGGTCAACTGAGGCGGTTACATTTTGTCAATGAAAAAATTATTATTATTTTAGATGATGAAAAGTATTTTACTTCGAGTAATTCTGAAATGAAGAGAAACGATGGATTTTATAAGGTACAACGTAGAAGAATGCGCTGGCAATGTTAGATACGAATAAAAAGCGAAACTTGCAGATAAAATCCTTGTCTGGTGTGCAATTCCTAACAAGCGTGTATCCCGGTCTTCTGTGGGGAGAGTGAGGGGTGAAGCTTTGAATAGTCAGAGCTATATTGATAACTGCCTTTATAAATTTGGGGAACAAACAAAACCTTGGATGACAATAAAAATTCTTGAACTTATGAAAGAACAAAGAAAACATAAAACAAAAGATCTGAATAAATACAAAGAAATTCAGAAAAACACCAGAAAAAAATCGAGAGACAACAGAGAGGTGGCTCTCTGACAGTTGCAAGGAAATAGAAGATCTTAATAGAAAATATGATAGCTTTAATTCACACGAAAAAATCAAAGATATAAGAGGTTTTAGGAAAAGCATAAGAACGAATACCCTTAAACTAATAAAGGAGATATTATTGATGTGAAGGAAATGTTGTGCCAATGGATCAATTACATTCAAAAGCTATTTAAAGATGAAAAAGAACCGTCATTAGAAACCACAGACGATACCGGAAAACAATATTACAGGTCGTCTATGCCATCAAAAATACAAAAGAGGGCAAAGCTAAGGGACCAGATGATGTATCCATCGAATTATTAAACTCATTGATGACGATGTTATTGATGTAGTCGTTGAACTCTTTAAACTAATATATCAGACTAACACAAACCCCAGACAATGGCTGGACTCGACCTTTGTGGCAATGCCCAAGAAGTCAAGTGCAACATCGTGTTCAGATTACAGAGCTTTAATGAGTCACACACTTAACAATCATTTTTGAAAATTAGACGGCAGAATTTTTAAAAGTCTTAAATATGAAATTAGTGACACACAATTAGGCTTTAGAAATGGTATGGACACAAGAGATGCTTTGGCTTGAATGTGCTGGCTCAGAGATGCATGGACATGAATCAGGACATGTACTTATGTTTTGTAGATTTTGAAAAGGCATTTAATAAGGTTCAACTTAAAAAGCTTGTAGATATAATAAAAATCAAAAATATTGACAGTTGTGATGTAAAAAATATTTCTAATCTATATTCGAATCAAACTGCCAAGGAGAGAGTTGACAAATACAGAGAGGAGTCCGCTAGGAGTACGTGTTGTCACCACTACTTTTTAATGTCCATAGTGAAGCGATATATAAAGAAGCGCTCTCAGATTCAATAAAAGGTATATATATACTCGTATCAATGGCGAAGTTTTGAATAACTTCATGACTTCACTATCATGACTAAATCAGCAGATGCTAATATCCAATTTATTGTAATGTAATTGAGAGTGTGGATACCTATAAATACTTAGAAACAATGATAACATCAAATGTGGACCAAACCAAAGAAATTAAGACACGTATTGAAATAGCACGCGCATCATTCGTTAAACTTAAAAGTTTCTTTGTTGTAGGGATATAAGGTTAAGGCTACGCAAAGATGATTCAGTGTTAAGTATTCACTACTCTTCTTTATGGCTTGGAAGCATGGTCATTGAAACAAGTGCATCCGAATAAGTTATCCGCCTTTGAATTTTGGTATTACAGAAGAATACTACGAATATCACGGACTTAAAGAATGTCAAATGCAGAAGTTACTAGAAGAAAAGGAAATTGGGCTAAAATGTTGTTGACGATCAAAAGAAGAAAAGTTCAGTTGGCTAATAGAAAAACGCTATGCCCTGCAACATAAACATCACTGTAGTGTATGCGCCAACATCTGACAGCACAGAGGAAGAAGTAAACATCTTCTACAATGACTTAAACAAAACAGTCAATGAAACTAAAAAAGAAGAAGTAAATTTGGTTTTAGATGACTTCAACTGGAAGGTAGAGAAATGAAGAGATGGAGAAGTAGTAGGAGAACACGGAGTAAGAACACTTAATGAAAGAGGTTAGTTAGAAAAGAGGACTAGTTAAGTTTTGCAAAGATAACGAACTCATTATCAAAAACACGTGGTATAAACTCCCAAATCGAAGAATATATATATGGAAAGCACCTCCAGATGATGGTGAAATTATAATAAGAAACCAAATAGATTACATAATAATAAATCAAAGATTCCGAAATGCCATAATATCGGCTAAAGCGTACCCAGGAGCAGATATAACAAGTGAACACAATCTAGTTCTAACAAACACGAAAGTCAAGTTAAAAAAGTTAAAAACAACTGCCAAAATACCGAGAATCAATCTGAGAAAACTAAAAGAAACTGAGATATATCAATAAATCAAAGAACAAGTGCACAAAGAAGTGTCTTCAAAAATACACATCATCTAAAAATAAACAATGGATTACAAAAGAGATATAAGAATTGATGACGGAAAGAACGGCACACAAGAATAAAAACAAACAACAGTACAAAGAAATTATTAAATAATCAAACAGAAAATTAAAGAAGCTAAGGAACTGTGGCTATCAGAAATGTGTGAAGAAATAGTTTTATAGTGTGAAGAAAAAGGTTAGATAAACAACATGACAGTTTCAACATACACCGGAAAATCAAAGAGACAGCTGGCATATACAAGAAGAAGGGTATCGGAAATATCATGGATAAAAATAACAAGATAATAACGGAATGTACAGATAACATAAACAGATGGGAAGAATACATAAAAGAGCTATTCGAAGACGACAAGAAAATTGAGGTCATTGAACCAAAAGGAAGAAATGGGCCACCAATCACCAAAGACGAAATTGAGAAAGCGCTAAAACGTATAAAAAATGAGAAGGCCATGGGACCAGATGAAATACCTACAGAAATCTTAAAAATATTAACAAAAAATCATATGGACACACTAATAGAATTATTTAATGACATTTATTATACGGAAGAGATTCCGAAAGAATGGTTAATATCAATATTCATTCCAATACCCAAAAAATCAAACACAATGAACTGTGAAGAGCACAGGACAATTAGCTTGATGAACCATATTCTAAAAGTGTTCTTACGAGTGATACACGAATCTATAAAAAGCTAGAGGATAGAATTGCTGAAATTGGGATTCAGAAAAGGCTTTGGCACCAGAGAAGCATTATTTACTGTACAAACACTAATCGAACGATGTCGAGATGTCAATTGCTTTCGACAAAGTACAACACCGAAGAATGGCAACAATACTGCAGAACACAGAATTAGATGACGAAGACTTGAGAATCCTTGCCAATCTATACCGATATCAGAAAGTCATAATACGAATAGACCAACAAAAATCGAAAGAAATACCTATAAATCGTGGAGTAGGACGTGCGTGCTTTCCCCTTTACTTTTTAATATGTATTCAGAAGAATTGTTTAAAGAGGCATTAGAAGACGTAAATGAAGGCATATTTATTAACGGATCACTTCTGAATAATCTTAGATACGCAGATGACACAATACTCCTTGCGGACAGCAGAGAAGGACTACAGATCTTGGTTGATCGCATTACCCAATACTGCGAAAGATATGGAATGGCACTGAATACAAATAAAACAAAAATCATGGTGGTAAACAAGCACAATATTGACGAAGACAGTGTTTATACTAACGGAAAACTTTTAAACAGAGTGCACAGATACCAGTAATTAGGTTACGGAAATAAAACGCCGTAATGAAATAGCTAGAAGTGCTTTTAATAAGATGAAAGGCTGAGAATAATTACAGAGACGACAGAGAAAACACTCATTAACTTTGAAATGTGGTGTTATCGAAGAATGTGGAAAATATCTTGGACACAACACATAACAAATGCATAAACGCTACGAAGAATGAAAAAAGATAAAGAAATACTCAACACTATCAAGAAAAGAAAAATGAGCTACTTTGGTCACATACTAAGAAACGAGAAATACGAATTGATGCGGCTGGTCATACAAAGGAAGGTGGAAGGCAAAATATGACCGGGAAGAAGACGCACGTCCTGGTGGAAGAATACAATGGAGTGGGAAAACGTCAATAGAACCTTTCAGAACGGCTGCAGATAGAGTCAAATGGGCCACGATGATCGCCAATGTCCTTAAAGATGGGACACGTTAAGAAGAAGAATAGAAAAAACATAACAAATACACGTAAATAGATAACAGCTGGGATATACGTAACAACAAAAGCAATAAACATATTAAGATAATAGCATCAAAATCATGTGTAAATACCCAACAGTATACGTAGAACATTCCCAAAAAAATATATACGTAGAATCATAAAAAAAATTAGAAAAAAGGTTATCTAAACACTAATTCAGCTCAACGAAGAAAATAAAAAAGTAATGTTATAATTTTCCAATTACTTTATATGAAATTAGTTTAAAACTTACCTGGAGAATCAGACGATGATATATGTATTAGATTTGTTGTCAAAATAAATCCAAAAATTATGACTAGTAAATTGTTAAACATATTTTCATCCTCAGCAGCTTGGTGCGAAAGGATAAGTGTAGATAACTGTAAAATACAAGTTTTAGACCGAAGGCAAGAAAAGTCGATAAGGATTACAATGGACTATTAATTTGCATTTATATTTATTAAGACAGCAACCCACAGTAAATGTTTATTTTTAATTAAATACACCGTATTTATCGATATTAAAATTAATTTAATTGAAGTGTGTCGAAAAACCAAAAATAAACAAAAATCGCAATTTTCTGGTTTGTACGCACATCTATTGCCTCATAATAATAATACCGTTGAAAATTCTATTTATTATTTTTTTAAAATTATATTTAAAATAAAATAAAATTGCCCTTTTTATTAATTTTATAGGTAACTAAACTCACATTAAAGCGATATATTGTTTTCCGGCCTGTAGCGAATCGGCGACCTGCAAATGTGGCAGACATTATCATTTATGTCGACATTACACATACTGTGTTTATTGTGTCTGTACAAGTTACCATCCTAATGGGCAACTTTTAGCAACTATAGTAAGTTGATAGACTTAGGTAATTGTTGAAATCTAAATATATTTCCCGTTAAATTACAACAAACCTAGAGAAAAATTTGTTCTAGGATACTAACCTGATATCAAAAATCAACTATATACCCAGCAATCATCTCTTCGCCAGTTCAAACAGTACAATCATCAGTAGCTTGACAACCCTTTCTGGGTCCTGGCTTGTTCTAGGATTTTCCGCCATTCTCTTCTGTTCTTTGGTTTGTTTTTCCAGTTGGTAATCTTAAGTGTTTTCAGATCTTGTTTCACTTGTTCCATGTATCTAATTTTGGGTCTTCCCTTTGACCTTCTCCCTACTGGTGTTTGCCTCATTATATGTTTTGGCGTTTCAGTCTCCAACATCAGTTCAACATGGCCCATCCAACGCAGACGTCCAATCTTTATGGATGTTACGATCTCTTATACACTGTGTCCGTAAAGTATGGAACAAATTCTTTTTTAGCTAAACAGAACATTTTGAGAAATAATCCTAAAACAGGTCGATTTTTGATTTTAATTTACCGTATTTTAAAATAATATTCTAATATACAGGGTGAATTACTTTCTAGTAATGACGTCACCGTCATTTTTTTTTAAATGGTTCACCTCCATTTTGTCTCTATTTTCAGATTACACTAGCTAAGCTGATTAAAAAAATGTATCACATGTTGATTCAAATTGGTACAGAGTGAATGAATACAGGGTGGTAAATTCAGAATATTATCAAAAATACTTATTGTCTAGCGGACAGAATATGATGAAATACATGATTTTATAAATGTTCGATATGTTCAAACTGCAGCCCTTGCTGTATTTTACAGTAACCCAAACGTTGTACAAATTCTTGTTGAACCTTGTTTATTGTCTTTAGAAATATTGTTTATTGCTGTCCGAATTCTCTGTTGCAATTCTTGAATATTTGCTGGTGTCATTTGCTACACAACATTCTTCAGATGGTCCCACATAAAATAATGCAAAGGATTGAAATCTGGTGACCTCGCTGGCCATTCAATAGGTCCACGTCACTACTCAAAACTTTCATCAAAATCTCCAGGATTACGTCTGCTAGGAAACAAATTGCGAAAAGTAAGTATGACATTTGTCACAATACCTAAGAAACATCGTCCAAAGACATGCGGTGATTATCGGACAATAAGTCTGATGAGTCACGTTTTGAAGATCTTCATGTGAGTAATACACAGCAGAATTTACACGCTGTTAGAGGACAGAATTAGCAATACTCAATTTGGTTTAGGAGTGGCTTGGGTACAAGAGAAGCCTTGTTTAGTATACAGGTGCTAGTAGAGAGATGCAGAGATATAAATCAAAATGTGTACATTTGTGCAATCGATTTTGAAAAAGCTTTTGACGAAGTCCAACATAACAAAATGCTAGAAATATTGGAAACAGCTGGATTGGACGATAAAGATCTACAAATAATTACAAATCTATACTGGCATCAAGTGGCAAGAATAAAGGTTGAACAAGAACTGTCGGATGAAATAAATATAAAAAGGGGAGTGAGACAAGGATGTATATTGTCGCCTAAACTTTTTAACTTATATTCGGAGGAAATATTTAAGGAAGCCTTAATGGAGACAACCGAAGGTATTATTGTGAATGGAGTAACAGTCACCAATATTAGATATGACGACGATACCTTAGTCCTTGCCAATTGCGGATAAGACCTTCAAAATCTAATGAACAAAATAAAACAGACTTGTGATCAGTATGGATTAAAACTCAACATTAAGAAAACTAAATATATGATGGTTAGCAAACAAAATTATATACAGGATGATGGTATAAAAGTCGGAGATGCCACACTGGACAGAGTAGAGAAACTCGTGTATCTTGGCAGTAATATCAATGAGAGCTGGGATACAACCGCAGAAATTAAAAGCCGAATAGAACAAGCCCAAGCTGCCTTTGTAAAAATGAGAAACGTACTTTGCAGTCACGATCTTAGAATTGACCTTAGAGTTCGTATGACATCTTGCTACATCTTTCCTGTCCGGCTGTATGGAGTGAAAGCGTGCACGAATTGCAGCCCATACATTTACCTTTTGCGAGTATTGTGTATAATGCTCACGCATCCAGTGGGCGTTTTCTTTTGCCCAGTATCTACAATTCTGACGGTTAACCTCGCCATTTAACGTGAAAGCGGCCTCATCAGAAAAAATTATGTTTTGTACCAAGAGAGGTACAAAATCATTGCTTCGTAAAATTGCATTCTTCTATCTGGACCATCTTCGTTTACAAGTTTGATTTTATGAGGATGCCATTTTTCAACTTTTAATAGTTTGTGTACCGTTGTTTTACTAACACCGATATCGCGACTAACTTTACGAACAGAAGTGTGCGCATCTTCTTCAAAACTAAGTAAAACATCTAATGCTGTATCAGCATTTGCAGAGGGACGAACTGATTTCCGTGCATTTTCAACCGTACCAGTTTCTCGAAATTTCTGTTCAATCTTACTGTTGAACGCGTTATAGGTCTCTCTGGATATTTATCATAGTTTATCATATTTATCAAAGTTTATGGTTGCAACAGAATGGTCCACCTCCACATTATGCTGTAGATGTTAGAAGGTAGGTAGACGTGGACCTGTTGAATGGCCAGCGAGGTCACCAGATTTCAATCCTTTGGATTATTTTATGTGGTGCCATCTGAAGAATGTTGTGTATCAAACGAAACCAGCAAATATTTAAGAATTACAACAGAGAATTCGAACAGCAATAAACAATATTTCTCAAGACACAATAAACAAGGTTCAACAAGAATTTGTACAACGTTTGGGTTACTGTTAAATACAGAAAGGGCTGCAGTTCGAACATTTATAAAGTCATGTATTTCATGATTTTTTGATGCATGATTTTCATTTATAAAGTCATGTATCATATTCTGTCCGCTAGACAATAAGTATTTTTGATAATATTGTGAATTTAACTAGCGCGTTATTTTATGAACACACACAAAACTATTGTATTTTTGTCCACCCTGTACCGATTTGAATCAACATGTGATACATTTTTGGAATCAGCTCAGCTAGAGTAATCCGAAAATTGAGACAACATGGGGGTATTCCATTAAAAAAAAATGACGGTGATGTCATTACTCGAAAGTAATTCACCCTGTATATTAGAATATTATTTTAAAATACGGTAAATTAAAATTAAAAATCGACGTGTTTCCGGATTATTTCTTAAAATGCTCTGTTTAGTTAAAAAATAATTTGTTCCATACTTTACGGACACAGTGTATATGTGTCTAATGATTTTTCGTTCAAATGTACCTAATAGGTTCTCATCGCTTTTCGACAGTGTCCACGTCTCTGATCCATATACAAGGACCGGTTTTATCAGTGTCTTGTATATTTTGCATTTGGTTTTTCTTTTTAGATCTTAGATGTTTAATTAGTCCATTATATGTTTTATTAGCGACATGTATTCTTCTCTTATTTTCACAGTAGAAGAATTATTTCGCGTAGCAGCCGACAGAGAAAGGTTTCAGGAAATTGTAAACATGATGACGGCCAACGTCTGAATACGGACACGGCACCCAAAGAAGAAGAAGATTCTTCTCTTAACTTCTTCACTGATATTGTTATCTGCGGTAATTAGTGAACCTAGATATGTAAAACTTTTCACGCTTTCGATGTTATAGTCTCGTATTATCAGATTGTGTAGGTTTCTTTGGCCTGTCGATTTATTGGCCTTCATGTATTTGGTTTTTATTTCGTTAATGTTTAGGCCACTGTTTTGTGCCGCCCTTTCTATCGCATTAAATGCTTCTATCATCTCTCTTTCGCTTCTAGCTATGATATCAACATCATCTGCAAATGCCAATATTTGTACACTTTTTGTTATTATTGTTCCTCTGGTGTTGACTTTTAACTCCCTAATTATTTTCTCTAATGTGATGTTGGATAGAATACAGGATAGGGCATCTCCCTGTCGTAGGTCCGTTCTTACATGGATTGTATCTGTTAGTTCGTTTTGAATTCGAATTTTGCTTTGTACTCTAAGTGTTTCTTTTACTATATCAATAAGTTAAGTAGGTATATTTAACTCTTTCAGTGCATGGATCAGAAACTCTCGATGGATGCTATCATAGGCACTCTCAAAGTCAATGAAAAGATTATGTGTGTCTATATTAAATTCACTAGTTTTTTCCAAGAATTGCCTCAAGACGAAGATCTGATCTATTGTGGACTTCTGCCTGCGGAAACCACATTGATATCCGCCAACTATTTGTTCCACATATGGTCTCAATCGATCATACACAATATTTGACAGTATTTTATATGCCACAGTAGCGTTATTGGCCGGTAGTTTTTGTATTGAAGCTGATCTCCCTTTTTATGTAGTGGGATAATTACGCCGGTATTTCATTCTTGTGGCAGTTGTTTATTATTCCATATGTTCACTATTAGTTCGTGTATCGCATTCAATAGGGAGTCTCCACCATCCTTTATTAATTCTCCGCTAATGTTGTCTAATCCAGGTGACTTGTTGTTTTTCAGTCTTCTCTTCTTCTTCTACGGCACTACAGCCCAAAATGAGCCTTGGCCTCCTTTATTTTTTGCCTCCACCCTTGTCTGTCTATGGCTGCTCTTCTCCATACACGGACTCCTAAAAGTGCTTGTGCGTCGCTGCTTACTGTGTCTTCCCAGCGCTTTCTTGGCTTTCCAACTGGTCTCTTTCCCTGCATTCTGGCGTTCAGTGCTCGTTTTGGTAGCCTATCCTCTCCCATTCGTATCACATGTCCGGCCCATTGCAATCTTTGTA